GTCGCCATCTTTGTTTTTATGAGTCCCATATTCGTGCATGTGTGGTGCGACGACCACCGCCCTTTTAAACCTCAGAGTATGGAGTAAAGTCCACTATTTTTGGATCAATAAATAATTGTTATATAGGTACCTTGGGTTGATCTTTCTCAAAGTGTTCATTTCATGAAGATATCTTCAATTTTCCATTTTTTGCAAATATGGATGGACTGTACAGTAATAATTACAAAACACTGACTTTGCTTTCTGCTATGTTGTTTTTCGTGATAGGGAAAGTCTCAGTACAGCTCTGATATTAAAAAATAAAGTTCGTCTTGAATTGATAGAAGATCCATTATTTGCTGTTGTATTCAACCTGGAATATATGCTATCAGTGCCAGTCTCCACTACAGATAGAAAGGTAGGTATTTTGTTATACTGCTTTACTCTGCAAAATAGTACTGTAAAACATGTTGAAAGAGCGGCATGCAATTTTAGCGAATTGTGGTAAAATGACGTAATAGCGAAATGTTGATTTAGCGAATCACTCTTGTCATTGTTGTCTAGCAGCCATTTTAAATTCATTAGCGATATGTTGAATTAACGAATCGGTTCTCTCACTAAATTCGCGAAAAAGACATGCTCGCAAAAAAAAAACATGTTTTACAGTATTTCAGTTTTAAATTTACTTATAATCTTAGGAAATGTATACATTTATTCAAATTCCTTTGAAATTAAAAGTAAATAAAGTTAATAATCATAATTCTTCAAATTCCTAAGAAATGTGATAAATTCATTTGATTTTTTGGTAGTTAAACCACAGACCCTAGAGAAAATAAATAAACAACAATATTAATCAGAATGTTTACATTATGAGCTTGGTTATACATGTACTACTGTAATTTATAATTATAATACTGTAGAATACTTTATTTTCGCTTGGAATTAATTTTCGCTGAAGGAATGATTCGGTGAAAATAAAATCCAGCGAATATACGGTTACATTCAACTTGTCAAAAATCAGTGAAAATAAATTCCATACAAAACACCCCAAAAAGTCTTTTCAGCGAAAATTAATTCCAGCTAAAATAAATTATTTTACAGTATCTAAGGCTAACAAAAAAGTCACCTTGTGTAGTGCTGTCACAGTTGTTGAAATAATTTTTGTGCATCATTTTTGAAATATTATGTGAATACCGATAGTATGCTACATTGCCAATTATCTGTCTCAATATTTATTATCGGTGTTATAGTCTTTATAATCTATATACAAATTCTTGTGGCATAGCGATTTTCAGAAATCAATAATTTGTGATTGTTGGCAAAATGGCACATTTTGTGTGCCTTTCTTGAAAGATTTGAAAAGGTCATTCTTTCCGTTGTCATGTCATGTGATTAGTTGTCATGTCATGTGATTAGTTGTCATGTCATGTGATTAGTTGTCATGTCATGTGATTAGTTAGTTGATCCATATCCTGTGTTACTAAACAACAATTATCCATATACAAGAGTTTCAACTCTTTTGAGTTCCCTTCTAAAAATTCAAGATTTTTTGCACATTTCACATCTTTTGTTGACCTGTGGTTTTTAATAAACAGAAAGATTTTTAAACTAATAAAATAAGTTGTATCATTTAAAATGTCATTAACACCTATTGGGACTCATTTAGCATACGTAATTATAAAATTATAACCCAGGTAACATAAAAGGAAATTAATTTCCAATCTTTCTCACTATTAAGGCTATTGTCAAATTTCAGATTGAATTTCATGCTACTATTTGTACCTTGGAGTACAAATATATACATGTTTTTTTTGGTAATCATTCTCTAGTTATCAACCAGTATGAATCGAGTACAAAGTCGCAATGTATCACTGCGTTGGGCTGCATGGACACCGTTTGCACATGACGGTATGGCTGAGATTACATTGCAGTTACAAGGAGATCCCATCCCTAATCCCGATAGTGTGCTAGTCTTCAAAAACCCAGATGTTGAGATGACTGATCAAGAAGCATCCAAGATAGCCCCAGGAAGAATACAGTTTATGTTCAGAACCAAGGTAAGTGACCTACCGGTACTAATTTAATTATACAGGTAAGAAAATCCTAACTTTTCCATTTTTGGATTGTTTTCTCTCCTTTTTCTATTGTACAAAACCGACAGAACTAATGTCACTACCTTATTGTTTCAGACAACAAAACACTATCATTGCTAGCTAAGTTTGGTTTGCTATGCCATTATTGAGACTGTTATTCACTTTGGGTCGAACCAACTTCAAAATAAGACATCTAGACATGTTGAATACAAATACAACATGCTGTTCTATTTTAGTTTGTTTCTTCCAACTGTATAAATTGCTGTATGATGAATGCCAAATTTGTACTAAACTAAATGTATGTATTGTCGCAGTCTTTTATGTTAAGATGCAGTTGTTGAACTTAGTGTATGTCCAGTGCAAGCATTTAGTCAAACTGTACACCCTCAAGAAAATCGTTTGATTTGACCGTTTCTAATCAAGTATTGATCTTGTGATGTACATTACAAATCAGTCAAACTTTTAACTGGCAATGTTTCTGTTTGGGTCTCTGAAACATTATGGTGATGACAATTAGAGATCTTGATTCAAATTAGTTTGAAAAACCAACAACATTTTTACAGATTTGTCTATTACTAATTCCATACACAATGTCAGATTACTTACAAATTGTTCTGCACCTTTTTTACCGTATTCTTCAATATTTCTGGAAATGAACTCTAATTTTAGAGCCAACAGACAAATTTAAGTCAATTTTCAGTTTTTACTCGAAATCAATTAGGCTATTTTTGTCCCAATTTTCTAAAGGAAAGTGCAGACTATAAAAAGGACTATTTTGTGTTAAAAAAAGGAACTGGTGGTGAAAAGGTTAATGGCTAATGATGAAATTAAAAATAAAATTATTATTTTTATATTATTTTAAAAACAAAAGAACCTACATATTCCCACTATAGAGGCACTGTACTGATAATCATTTCATTGTTGCTTTGCAGAAGGACATGAGTAGCTCTCGTCCTGGTAGTGCGGCTTCCATGAGGTCAGAAAGTTTTAGGCAGGGATTTGATTCTTACAGGTCTACAGGACAAGCTACACACATGGTATGTACCAACAATTGCATCTGGAGTTTTGTATTGTGCTTTATTCTTATATTGGCTTTAGATACAGTGTATCTCATATACCAATAGCTGGCAGAAAAAAATGGTCATTCTATTATATTATATTATGATACATCTGTCACTGTAACACCATAAGTTACAGCATGCCGTAACTTAGCAGTATTTTACAGGGTGCCAGTTTAACCGGACTCTACACAAATAGGTTTGCTGATTTTGTTCTGAACATTTTGGATTTCGACATTCTCGTGATGTGTAATAATAAGGTTATTACGAGGATACCTCAGCTGCGCATGCTCGATACTCCAGCTGTATTGTCTTCGTGCATACTTTGAGGTATCTCCGTAATAACCTCATTTTAGCTGTAGATACAGTGTATTTTATACATCTTGCAGCAAAAACTGGTCAATCTATTATATTATCAAATATGTGTCATATTTATGTCAAATTTGAATGCTTGTAGTGCAATTGAAATAAAATGACACCACTGAACACGAATGTGAAGGCACTGCTTTATTTTAGCTGGAATTAATTTTCACTGAAAAGCCTTTTTTGGGTGTTTTGTATAGAATTTATTGTCACTGATTTTTGGTGAGTTGAATGTAAAATATAGAAAAAGGTATATTCGCTGGATTTTATTTTCACTGAATCACTTTTTTCAGTGAAAATTAATTCCAAGTGAAAATAAATATTTTACAGTATTCTCATATGCATCAGTCGATATAGCTCTATAATTCATGTGTGCATATTTTACGGTATTCTTGTGATAACCTCATATTTTCACTGTGCTTATATGATCATTTGATGAGTCTGACATCATATCTTGTAGGAAACATCGATGGATGTTGGAATGCCACATTATCAGACAGGTTTAGCTCCACACGAACAAAGTAGTGTTGAAGGGTCCATGCTTGGTGAATCACACCCATCACAGTATCCAGCTAGACCACCTATACCAAAGGGATCACCAAGGACACCAAGAAGGTAACTATATAGTTTTGTGCATGTCTGCTTTCGCAGTAACTGGTACCAAAGATAAAATAGCGACGTTGTTTGCTGTTGTTGATATTAAATATAGATGTTAAAAAATATTGCAGAAAACATTGTTACAGCAGATCGGTAAGCGACATATCGAGAGCTATTGCCGATTGGTAAGCGACATATCGGGAGCTATTGCCGATCGGTAAGCGACATATCGGGAGCTATTGCCGATCGGTAAGCGACATATCGGGAGCTATTGCCGATCGGTAAGCGACATATCGGGAGCTATTGCCGATTGGTAAGCGACATATCAGGAGCTATTGCCGATTGGTAAGCGACATATCAGTAGCTATTGCCGATTGGTAAGCGACATATAGGAGCTATTGCGGATCGGTAAGCGACATATCGGGAGCTATTGCCGATTGGTAAGCAACATATCAGGAGCTATTGCCGATCGGTAAGCGACATATCGGGAGCTATTGCCGATCGGTAATCGACATATAGGGAGCTATTGCCGATCGGTAAGCGACATATCGGGAGCTATTTCCGATTGGTAAGCGACATATCGGGAGCTATTGCCGATCGGTAAGCGACATATCAGGAGCTATTGCCGATCGGTAATCGACATATCGGGAGCTATTGCCGATCGGTAATCGACATATAGGGAGCTATTTCCGATTGGTAAGCGACATATCGGGAGCTATTGCCGATCGGTAAGCGACATATCGGGAGCTATTGCCGATTGGTAAGCGACATATCAGGAGCTATTGCCGATCGGTAATCGACATATCGGGAGCTATTGCCGATCGGTAAGCGACATATCGGGAGCTATTGCCGATCGGTAAGCGACATATAGGGAGCTATTGCCGATTGGTAAGCGACATATCAGGAGCTATTGCCGATCGGTAATCGACATATCGGGAGCTATTGCCGATCGGTAAGCGACATATCGGGAGCTATTGCCGATCGGAAAGCTACATATCGGGAGCTATTGCCGTTAGGTAAGCGACATATCGAAAACTATTGTCGATCGGTATGCAACATATTGGGAGCTATTGCCGATCGGTAAGCAACATATTGGAAGCTATTGCCGATCGGTAAGCGGCATATCGGGAGCTATTGCCGATCGGTAAGCGACATATCGGGAGCTATTTCCGATTGGTAAGCGACATATCGGGAGCTATTTCCGATTGGTAAGCGACATATCTGGAGCTATTGCCGATCGGTAAGCGACATATCGGGAGCTATTGCCGATCGGTAAGCGACATATCGGGAGCTATTGCCAATCGGTAAGCGACATATCGGGAGCTATTGCCGATCAGTAAGCGACATATAGGGAGCTATTTCCGATTGGTAAGCGACATATCGGGAGCTATTTCTGATTGGTAAGCGACATATCGGGAGCTATTTCCGATTGGTAAGCGACATATCGGGAGCTATTGCCGATCAGTAAGCGACATATAGGGAGCTATTTCCGATTGGTAAGCGACATATCGGGAGCTATTTCCGATT